TATACATACATTCTTTTATTATGACTGATTATATTGTGCAATCCCTTTCCAGTACCAAAAGTTCAAAAGTTGCTTGATTGTCCAAAAAACTGATAATTCTCCCAATTTGGATAGTTTCATTGTTGCAAACTCTAAGTTTAGTGGTTAATGAGACAAAAGCTGTTATTATGTGAAACTTCTCATTTTAAGAAACATTTTTCTGATCCAGTAACAAGACCTGAGACAAATCATGCAATCAGGTAAGCGTGCATGTACCATTATTAAACATACATTTCCTTCACGTGAGTAATGTGCACTTTTGAAGAAAACAAAACAATTTAATTGAAAGATTCAGTAATCAATTGCATTGCTTCGAGCATAGCTTAATATAGATAAATATGAAAGATATACAAAAGACGGTCTTTTAAGATGTGACAAAACTAACAGTGACCAAGCAGAAGTACTCCATTGAAGTTAAAAGTTTTGGTGCTTTTTCTGCAGTTCCGTCGTTAGAAACCAGGGTGTTGCTCCTAAAAAAAGGACAATTTTGAAATAGTGTTAAAACAAACTCGTTCAGAAAAATTGTTCGCGTACTAGTAAATGGGGAAAAGACGAAAACGTTTGCTAGTAGACAAACACTGTTTAGACCAAAGAAACTATTTTCCTAGTGTGTGACAAACGCTGCTGGATGAAAACTGCTCTCTTCCAGAAAAAACACAGAAACAATTGTATTTTCATCTGTGAATGAATTTTTTTTTCAATGTAGCCACTTGCAACACATCTCATAGGGCATTATCAGACAGATTGCCTTCGATGTGATGTGTATTGTATTGTATTGACACTGTCTACATGTGATGTCTCTAGATTTAAAATCTATACTTTGAGTCCATATCATGTTAAAAACTGACTTACTACTATGCAAGTTTCTTGTGAACAATATTTGTAGTCTACGCCGCTCGTGTTTACAGAGATCTAATAAAATCATAGTATAAACAGGTGTGTACTTTGAAAACATTCATTGAATTGGTCTGTATCAACACCAGGTGATGTCAACACTCTTAACACTTACACTCCACTAGTACGTTATAATATATTATAAATTACCATCACAATTAGAGGTTTTATAACGTTGCTTAACATTATGACGTGATCACGTAAATCTCAATTTGCAGGTAATTTCATTTTAACAATCTACCCCAAGATTTAAAGCGGTGAGGTCGTCACCTGCGCATGCGTCAGATGGCATAGCGTGTCATTGTTTACAAACAAGCGTCTAACCATGAACCTTTGCGTTTTTAGCGTGTGTTGTTATCGTCGTTTGGGACTCAATTCCCGTGCGTGCGCAAGTGACGACCCTCCCGCTTTAACACAAGTCGTTCAATTCTGATGGTTGTGATCATGATTTCTTACATCAACAGTGATTCCCCATGGTGTTGTATTAGATTAGGGGAAGGGCCTAGATGCAATATGTTCGGCTACACCTCGCACACATTTCCATAAAACCTTTATCCAATTCAATATAGCGCTGTTTTGGATACATTATTGTATACATAAATACCCAGTCAATGAATACATTTCACTTTACCATGTGATATCATCAATTAACGATCAATTTATTGTACCTTACTGCCTACAGTTTGAATCGCTATTTTCATTCACCTTATTGACTTTACAGAAAATAATCTCTATCGATAAAGTCTAAGATATCTTAGTTGTTTTTACATGTCTTAAAAAAATCTTAATACTGTTGATTTTCAAATTACAGCTGTATTATTTGACATCGAAAAAAATACAATGCTACTATATTCGACAAACAGCTAAAAAAATAACAATCACCATTATATCTGCTCTTAGTTTAAAACAAAACTGTAGGATAATTGAATGCACTTTATTATATCCATTTATCAACTCAAACCAAATTTATCCAAATTATGTTGCTTATAGTACTCACAAAAATACTACCATATTTGGAGTTTTGTTTACATAACGTACAATTTAGGGTTTTATAGCTGCTGAAGAGCGATGGTTGTCGCGTCGCACAGTGCTGCATCCTATTCGATATTAGACTTATACCGAGGCTATACATGGAATTTCGGAAACTAGCGCCCCCTATAGCTGAGGGTTTGCTTGTGTAAAGAAAATAATTTAATATCTGAATTTAGTGTGGTCAATATTTTTATAATTACGATAAAAGTACAAAATTATCCCTGTTCGCATAACCAAATAAATAATTGTCTTCCTCAAATGTGAAGATACTTCTTGCATGTGCATGCAATTCAGTCTACTCCGGGTTGGCTCCCCTCTTCTCGGTGTGTGCACGCGCGTGTGATGTAAACGGTATAATGGTCATCACAGTGCTTTATAGCCATTCATTTAAGAAATTTACATTATAAACGGTCTCTAAGCTACCACTAAAGTGGTGAATGCATAATAGCATCAATCTCAAGGATATGCCTGTAATTTCAAGAACAGTTTGGTGCAGAATTTAAAGAAGGTACTTTATTTCGAAGAGCAATTTATGTTAGTGTTTCAATTTTAGCAACTAGAGTTTGTTTTCGACTTATGGCGAGTCGTATGCAGAATGTGTACTGTGGTACTAAAATTAGTATAATTCTTTGTCTGGGATGCTTTGAAAATGTGATACTAGTATATTTTGTCACAGCGCCCTCATCGACGGACTTCAACTGAGAAGCCGTCGGCGAAGGCGCAGCAACATTCACGAAACTGAATTCAATGATGAAGAACATCTTGGTGGGTAGATATCGATCGACAGCACTACTTCGGCACGTTTTTCAAAAAATTATATAGTAACTGGTGAAATCTGTCTGTGAAATCTATGTAGGCTGCATGGTTAGCCTTGTGTATCTTGTGCAACTGAATGTCCGGCATATGTTTCAAATGTTCGTACGAAGTGTCGCCAAGTTGTGTGTCAAGTTCACCATACACTATCATTGTAGGAGTCTGCAAATAAAAGGTTAGTGTGTAGTTAATAACAACGAAATTAGAGGATTTCCGATGACCGAAATTGTAATATTACCAGTTTTGTGATTTATATTTCGTGCGTGCAACAGCTAACAAGAGATTAAATAAAGACGTTGTGGTCAAAGGTCATCCGTTGTGCTAGGAAGCACGCAATGCGAGTGTCATCACGTTTACATTTAGTAACCATGCTGTCACGTGTTGGTTAATGAAACATTGCATATTTAGCGAATGCCCCCCCCCCCGTTGGAAAATTTATTCAATTTGTTTTTGTATAATGTAAACAAAATCATTAACTTAGTCTGGCGATTTTAAAGTTCCCCCCCCCCAATCCTGTATCCGCCCCTGGTGCTGTAATTCCATTCCGATTACGTATATTCACGTCACCATATTCTACAACATACATACTTTATTTTCAGCATACTGTTCGTCGGTAAAGTTTGACGTGCTAGTTGGCGCCACCGGGACAAATCCTCGTACCAAATCAGGTCTTTTCATCACCAAAGGCAATGCGTAGTCGCCGCTCATTGAAGGGCTGATGATAACAGGCCGCCCAAGGTTTAACCTTTCTATCAAGTTTGCCAGGAACGTCGATGGATCTCCCTGTAGCGCGGCGTTTTTGGAATTTACATAACCTATACAAGTAAACAGAGGCATTTAACAAATAAATCGGTATATTTATGGAAAATGCTATCCCGTGGGTCACTTGATAATAAGGTTTGAACATGAAGGGTGCGGCTGATGCATATGTTGAACAAAGACTTCTGGATTTCGAGGAAAACGGTTAATCATTTGCGTGACAGGTTTGAACGAAACTAACATGATCTCACGAGATTAAAGTGCCTGTGAAATGGCTGCTATTTTCACGCCGAAAATTATCCATTGATACATAAATATTATTATTTTTTTATGTTTCTAATCAGGATGTATTTTTTAAGTGAAAAAATGTGTTTTAAACTCAATCTACGGCAACTTTATTTTTGTGTATTTTAAAACTAGGCTCCTCATTAGCTTCGTATTTGCATACAGAAATTCCCCTTGTGACGTCAGAAGGGGAAGTCGCATGGCAGCTTGCATTGTCGATACGCGTAAATAAGGCAAATTTCTTCTGCAGTTTTCTCGTCTTTGACTAAATTTTCACTTATGTACTTGTTCATCGAGGAGGAATGGACCATAATGAACACATAGTATCAATTTTTGTTGCATGGGGTTGAGTTAGATGCGAAATATGTTCGTTCTGGTGTAGCTGGTTACCGTGATCGTCAGCGGCGCACGTTTGTACACTGTCGCTGGACAAAATAGAATTTGACGTCGGAATTATCTCGTTATTTAGCTGGTTACTAGGCACGTCACTACACTGTTTTATTTCATCGATCGTCTGAGTAAAACTTTCAAAATTAAAATAAAAGAGAACATAAATTGACATTCTAAACATTAGACCATGGTGATCACTATAAATTAATTTAAAAAACGACAAATCACAGTTACTAAATAAATGACAGCCGCGTGGAAATAAATTGAAATTTTGTTGAAATAGGTGAACGCCTCGGGTCACGACGAGGGCAAGTGCGTTAAAAGCGGAGTTTAATTGGATAACAAAAATAATCGAGATCGACACACATACAGATAAATTCAGAGTGGATTCGAGTTAGCGTGATCCATGGCGTGATTGTCATAATTATAACATCATATTAAAACTTTATTGGTGGAAACACATTGACCAAGCCCGGATTCTTATTTCAGAAATTAGTACGCAGATCAAGCTGCAAGCATGGATGTAAAAAAAGAACAGAGGTGTGAATTCGACATTCAACACAAATCACCAAACAATTCAGAAACTTTTAGCCTTCGAAAATGAAAACAATTAGCCGTGTGTAAGGGCTGTGTAATTTCCTGTTTGTCCGACGCTTCGTTTTCGTGTTACTGTCAAAATTATTGCTACCTTTTACTTAACAGGGACTAAATGGTCTCTATAAAACGATAATCAGGATCGCAAAAAAGTCAACTCATTTGAAACACTTGCCGGACGTCTCTCTCTCTCTTCTGAAATCCGCCTCGGTGATCATGGTCCTGAATCTATTTCTTTCACAAGTGTTGCGCCAGGTTTATGTTGTCGGCGTTTCTCTTTAAACCTAGTTGTTTTTTTCATGGACGAGGACAGTTTTTCTAAAAAATGAATCTGAGGTTAAGTGGCTTTCGTCCACTGATGTCGCACCTTCGAATCGATTAGAAACGTGTGAATACTTACACTATGACTATACGTTTCACTGCAACTGCCCACAACACAACATCTAAAAACTCTCTCTCTCAAAAAAAAAGAAAATAGACAAAAAAAGAAAGAAAAAAAACCCGACTAAAAAATGTATATCGTTAAAAAGTATACTGAATGACCAGTGTTATTACGGCTCAGGGGTATGACTTCCTCTCACATTTTGGCATTTGGTGGCGCACTTTCGGCGAGAGTCGGAAATCCGGTAACAGTCGACCGTTTCAGGATAGGTGGGCGTGGCTACAACACGAGAAATATCCCAAATTTACTTGGATACGAGTAATCATTTTCAGCAAAAAAATCAATAACTACCCTTTTCAGTGGGATACAGATCTAAAATGGGAAACGTGAGGGTGGCGTAGTATGATGCCGATGAACTTGAAATTCGAACCCATTAGTCATCTGATTCCGAGCATAACATAATAATGGGATGAAATGCCAATCAATCGTGGTCAAATATGATGTTAAAGGGAAAGTCAAGGCTAACAACATAATACTCCTCGATGAAAGAGCTCGGCAAATGTAAGAACATGCATTTTACATTTTTTTATATCACTTCTCATTCTCTAGATATTCAATTTTTCATCAATTTATGTAGACCGCCATCTTGATTCTTCAGCAAAGGATTATGGGTAAAGTATGAAATCATTTTCTCAATTTCTGACAACAGACTCTATGATGTCATACTTTACCCATAATCCTTTGTTTGAGAATCTAGATGTCTGACTACATAATACCGATGAAATGTTGAATATCTAGAGAATGAAAAGTGATAAAAAAAACAACTGTAAATTGCATTCTCCTAACATTTGTGGAGCTTTTTCTTGGGGGATTATGGTGTGGTTTGGCTTGAAAAAAAACAAAAACATGATCATCATTAGAAAAAATATTCCTACCTGGTAAATCAATAGCTACCGCTCTATATCCTAATTTCGCAAGTTGGTGCAGCGTTCCCAACTCCAGCCATGTATGAGAAGAGTACTCGGAACCATGAAGTAGCAACACACTGCCCTCTATGCTCTCCGCCTTGCTCTCGTCGAGAGACTCACGAAGATAAATCGGTTCACTGGCGCCCTCTACGAGTAGCGATGATTCTCGAATCCCTATGGTGGAGTAGTCATTCCCCACTTTAAGATCCTGTGGGATTTCTTCTATCTCACGCTCACTCCAGTGTAGAGGGCGCTCAGTCCGTGTAAAGTTGGATTGGAATTGTTCATATACAAGCAAACTGGAATTAGACTGGAGCGAAGAGTTTGAACTGTAACTATGTGAAAATATGAGCTTGATAAAGAGAAATAAAAACACAAAGGCGATCCCGACACATATCCCCGTTCCTCTAAGGTTTATCCTGATTGGCTGCATCGTGGAACGAGTACCTGCAACAAACGTATACAATTAAACGTATTAGTGATATACGTGATACAATGCCAACGTTTAAAGACTGGCATTTATTTTGAAAGTAAAGCACATCTATTCGTGCCACTAATCATTTTTCATTATAGAAATTCTCTATTTTTTATTGTTGATTTTGACCGAAAATGTATGATTGATTGAAAACATTGGTCCCGGGGCCCCTCAATTCAGGAATGTTTGGAATGTAGACAAAACTCGTATCGTCGATTTGCACGTGTATGCTATTTTCTAGGCGTTGATGCGAGAGCTTGACGGAGTTAATATCACTCAGACTTGTACTACTAGTCTGAGATATTACACAACAGTCTCTGGAAATGAATGTTCAGCTTATCAGACATGTGGTTGTACGTCATTTTACTATGGAAACCAAAGACGACAGGCGGCACTATGTGTGGAATTCTGATGCTGACCATGACCAAATTGCCATTATTTATAACAAATAACTCTTAGATTAAACGATCAGTCCCTATATATATATATATATATATATATATATCTAAATGTCCGTTCATATTGACTTTTCAGATAAACATAGTAGCAATCTTAAAATCAATGTATGTTGACTCATTTGCATATACGAATTGCAAACCAACGTCGATGACGTCATTCATAAAACTGAAAAGTCCGTGTTTAACGATTCCTGGTAAACAGTTTCCTGAATACTGTCTGGATACTGTCTGGACGCACTTCACTTTGATTAGTAACAGACAATCACAGTGTAATACTAGTACTCAGTTTGGGATGTGCGTTATTCACATCAAATGATTAAAGATGCAATATGGTGAAAGCGTATGTTTTTATAATTACAAATATTGACGACAACTTAATTTATCTACATATAGTTCATACAGTTCCATGAAACATTATTTATAATAATATTCATATAATTGCTGAATGTATGCAGTGTTTATTATGAAAACAAATCGCGAGTTAAATTATATTGTGCTTCGAGCAGTAGTTGAATTTCTGAATAAAAACGACTTCACGGTTTAGTCACGTTATTAGGTTATTATATTTACCATACTGAGTGCGCCCTCTATAAACCTGTCAATGAACGCTACAATACTGACTTGCATGTACCAAGCACACAACCCCTTTCGTAGCTGTTACTTTTCGAAGTTGCATTCAGCTGATCAGAGTAGTTGACACACAGTACAGTCAATCCAAATATGACAAGACAGATTTTATGATATTACGTAAAGTTAACGAGATTTTACATAAATGTAGGCTGTTATTAGAACAAAAATTGAAATCAATATCGGAAATAAAACAAATTAATAAAAACGTTTAGAATACATGTATAATTTTATTTCTCAACCCAATTCCTCTACAAGATGTCGTAAAAAATCTATATAAACAATCGACAATACACTGTAAAAGATCGAGCGTGCATATTTAATGAATAATATTGTCATTATGACGTTCCCGACTGTCACTCATAATTCCTTCCATAAGCAGTCACAGCTGTGATGGGCCATTGTTCGTGGCTGCGAAGACAAACAGACACTGTAATGGTTTTTAATGTGACCCGTTGACCCATTCAATAATATTGAGCAAATTTCTGTGTAATAAAACTATATTTGTGAAAATAAATTAGTGAATCTAATTAAATCTAATACTTTTATATTTATTGCTGAAATGTATGTGATTACACTATTTTCATTAGACATGAGTTAATTTCTGGGATTTGCAGACGACATACACAAATTACTACCGCCATTTGTTACAAAATGTGTATAAATCAAACCACTTTTATTATTGAAAAACTGTTCACACTAACTATTATGGTAACAGGCTGATGGCGCACGTAATTGTTCAGTATGTAAATTATGCTGTACCCTTTTGCAGCCCTGAGACGATGACTTGTATAATAATTACATGTTTACAATTTATACAAGGCCCCTGTATTTATAACGATGTGACATTGCTCTGTAAAGATTCTACGATCGTCCACCGAATGGCGTTTCAGTATCTGATTGAGTTACACCCGGTATTACGGCTGGTCCTCGAGTTGGCCAGAACCGGCAAGAACATGTTATGGATAGTCTATGCGCTGCTCTTGCCGGTGTGTGTGCGTCGCACAAATTAACGGGAATGCCTGGACATCTTTTAGTATACCAACCAACCAACAAAAACAACCACCCCTCCACGAAGAGGCGATATAAAACGACACAATTGTATCTTACCTAATGTTTGCCGTAATTTCATTCCATTGGATGACATTATTAAAATGAAATAAAACCAAAAATGGACACGAATCTACCATCCGTACAGTTGAACGTCTATAGGGTGTTTTACTCCATTTTCTTCTAAATCATGCTCTGTATCAAGGTAAACGACGTCCGAAGAACGCATATATTGTGACGTGTTCCCCGACTGCCAATTATTCAGCAGGTCATGTGATGAGTCCACGATAATACCACGCACGTATGGCAAGTATTAACTGCGTATAGGAATGTATTAGACTGCTTATGTTGGAGTAATTTGGACAGGCAATGTCATGTTACACAACGCCCCCCTGCTCTCATACTGTAGGTCGATAAACAATGAAAATATATAACTGTAATGAAGTTGTTTCATAATTAGGCTTGTAGAAATCGTAACTTGCAGGTCATCCTCGTTATTGTTAAAATTATTATCATTTGTGTGAATTGTTCCATAATCTACGCCTACAATAATCAGGTTTGAAAATGTCTTTTTTACTGATGACTATGTCTGTTCTCATTGTTTTTTTGTAATTGTAAATTTGTTTGTAGATTCTGATGTTGACGGAGTTTGTTCATTGGTGAGTACTAGAATTCTATTTGTTACCATGTAATAATAAATGAATAGTATCTCATGTTTATTATATAGCTGTATTCATTCACACAAATACAAGGTCCTATGTCATGATATTATTTTCCATGTACTCGTATATAACAAATTTCAAGAATTAGTGTTAATATACCCCTGGAGTATTTTAGTTGTTTAATTGTGAAGTCTGTGCGAATATGCACATTAACTACCAATAACACATGTGCGGAGCAGAACGACTACTTGAGATAGTCACAGTTGGTGGTTTCAGTGAGTGAGTGAGTGTAAAGTAATAATATTATGATTACTTCCCCGATAAAAATACTAGCGTTCGAACTTAACGGTTATTGGTGACCACGATACTTACAGCTAGCACAGTAGTTACATGCAGAAACAATGCAAACCAAATGCAACCTCAGAAATGCAGGTCATGAAACAAGGGCATATTATATGTGCACACACAGCACATAACGTAACACGCTAATCAGGGACTCACGGCGGGGAGAGGGGGTCACATGATGTTTTTTTCTTCGAAACAAAAGCTGTAAGTTTATACCGAACTACAGCCCAAACATTCCCAGTTCGTGCCGGGCTGACACATGGCTATAGTTTTAAAATGAAAAAGCAAACATTTGCACTAATGTAAACATCACGCAATGTTTATTGGGTAAACAATCATAATATTATTAATTTACACTCACTGTAACCATCATTGGTAACTATGTCGAGTAGTTGTTTGTCTCCGCTCAGGTGTTACCAGGACTACTACTAATTGGATCTTGTGCTCATGAATTAAGCAAATTTGACAAACGGGCCAATAATGATGTGCATATCTAACATTCACCACTAACATGATAGTGTGTACAAAGCTGGTAATGTGATCTCATTAATTATGTACATATCTAACTTCTAGAGACATGTTATAGAAGTACATTCACCACTAACAAGATAGTGTGTACAAAGCTGGTAATGTGATCTCATTAATTATGTGCATATCTAACTCTTAGTGACATTTTATAGATGTACATTAACCACTAAAATGATAGTGTGTACAAAGCTGGTAATGTGATC